CATAGAGTACCTGCCCAGCATGCACTTGGTGTAGAGGTGGGGATGGGACAAGGAGTTGATTTTAGTTTGTTCATCTGCTTCTACTCAAATGACCAATTTTGGTTAAGTCACTGAAACATGTTGGGTCTTTTTTTTATGTAGAGGACTACTGAAGTTGAGGGAAAACAAGAGCTCTGAAAATAAAAACATCAGGGTCAAAATTGACATCTCTGAGCCACACCCTAAATGTTTCTTTTTGTAAAGTATTTTGTTTGGGTGGGCTGCTATAACAAAATCATAGTTTGGTGATTGTTATGGTAAAAATTGAACTCATGAGGGGCTGTGAGCTTCAAGGAGCAGCAAGTCCCAGGCAGGGAGCTGCGCGGCAGGTGACAGACTGAGAAGGATAGGCACACCATGCAGAGTGAGGTTGGATATTTATTTAGTGGGTTATGGAAGGGAAGGGAGAATGAGGGAGAAGGGGGACAAGGAGACAGAGGCAGAGAGAGAGAGAGAGAGAGAGAGAGAGAGAGAGAGAGAGAGAGAGAGGAGAGAGACAGGGGTAAGGGGAAGAGGAGAAGAGCCACAGCAGCGGCTACTTCTTCAGATGACAGATGGAAAAGAAGAAGGTCTCAGGCTAGAAGCTGAAGGAAGATCCACTTGCCTCGGTGGATCGAAATTTTAATCCTCGGTGAATTGGGTATTTAGGATTTAATCCTATTTAAATACCAATTTAAAACATTAAATTAAATTAAACATGCCAATTTAAAACATGAGACTTATTGTTTTTGTAGTCTGGAATGACATACAATGAACAGACAATTAAAACATGCAACAGTAAACATAGGTGCATTTAAGTCACATGTATGTTCACATACACATTAAACAGGAATTGGGTGAAGAGGATGCTCGTAGGTGGGCCCTACCAAAGGTATACCACTGGACAATACACATCTGTAACAGAGTCAGCACCGGGGGACCAGAGAGGAAATATCTCAGTAAAGATGTCAGGACATGGTCACTTGAATTGGCTCAAACTTAAGATGGCAGTGAAGTCACCTGACCTCAGTCAAAATGGCAGCGGTCACATGTTATATGGAGAAGCCACGTTTTTTGAGCTGTGGGAGTTCTAAATATAATAACAAGAGAGACCTAGAGGCGTGATCCACCCTGTTGCCTAGCTGCCACACCACAAGCTGCAGCAGGGAGCAAAGGCTGGAATTGGAAACAGCCGCCTCGTGGATTCCACTAATCTTGTCGGTTTCCATAGGACCAGTGGTAGTGGTGGCAGGGATGGTTTGAGGAAAAGCGGAGCCGGTGGGACACCAGCAGAGCATTCACAGACCAGTGGTTGATAGTTTGGGGGTTTATATTCCATAGCTGAAAACGTGAAAACCTGCAAGAACAGCACACTATAGGGCTTTTAGGAGAATGTCTCTTCTCTATAGGCAGGGTGTGAGTGAAGCCTGACTGGCTCTGGTCCAGGCGACTCAGAAGCCAGAGACTAGAGGCTGCTCCGAGCGTGTGCAGTGCTAGCATGGGAGGAACAACCTGGTTAATCCAGTCACGTTCTTAGCTATGGGAATCAAGTAGAGATGAATGTCAGTGAAGGGCTCAATCGTAGCCGTGAAGGCTGTGGTTGGGGGCTGGAAGGGGAAAATTCAACACCGAAGCCGCTGGTGTGCGTAGAGGTCGGTGTTCAGGCAGATAGAATGTAGAGCTGTTGTAAAGAAACCTGGTTCCTGAGACCAGGGTTCCACAGGTTCTCAGCCGGCCTGCCTGCAGGCCAGAGGGAACATGGAGAGTGCCAGAGTCTAGTCACAAGCAACAAATGTTAAGGTAAACCGCTGCAGATCCCCATATGTCGGCAGTGGGCTGTGGGCTACCAGACCTCAGTGGACCACAAAGGCAGTCAGTCTCAAGCAGGGAGCCACATGGTGAGTGAGAGACAGAGACCCATGCAGAGAAAGTGGATACCTATTCAGTAGGCTATGGAGGGAAAAGGGGAGAAGGAGAGAAGGGAGAAGAGCAGAGAGAGAGGCCGAGAGAGAAAGAGAGAGAGAGGCCGAGAGAGGCCGAGAGAGAGAGAGAGAGAGAGAGAGAGAGAGAGAGAGAGAGAGAGAGGGAGGGAGAAAGGGGAAGAAGAGAGGCAGGCAGAAGGAAGATCCACTTGCCTCAGCAGAAGCAGTGGGGGGGGGTTGTCTCTTAAAGGGACAGGACAGACCATTATACTGACCATTTCCTTTTGATTTCCCCATCGAAACAGACTGGGCATCACTTCCTAAAGCCTTTTGTGGGAAGTACAGGGGGAAAACCCAATTGTGCTTTCTTTGACCAGACTGTAACATGAGGGGCCGGCTTGTTGGGGTATCTGTTCTGCCTAGTACCCCACAGCCGGCAAGCCCCAAAGAAAATCACACGCAGGACTCCATAAGATTATAAACTGATTGGCCCATTATCTCAGTCTTCTTATTAACTAATTCTTACGTTTTACGGTAGCCCATAATTCTTGTCTGTGTTAACCATGTGGCTTAGTACCTTTTCCAGCGGGGCAGGTTACATCTTGCTGCTTCGGTGGTCTGGGCAGGAGTGTGAAGGGAGCTTTCTGTTTCCCAGAATACTCTCGTTCTCTTTGCTTCACCTCTACTCCCTGTCTGGTTTTCCCGCCTATACTTCCTGCCTGGCCAATCAGCATTTACTTAAAACATGATTGACAGAATACAGACAATTCTCCCGCACCACCAGATGGTCCCTAGCTAGTTCTTAGGAGAAGGCTCTGGTCTTCAGCAGACATTTGCTGACCTCTGATCCTCCACCCTAGAGCACCACAAAGACAGGGTGAATACCGTTAGGACACAAGCAAGCATCCTTCTGGGCACTGAGCTAAGGCAGAAAGGGGAGTGCCCTATCCTAAGCATCCTGCCTGGGCTCCAAATGGATGGCTCATGTCAATCACTCATTTATCCCAATGACAACCTTGTGACAGATTTGCCTGGGGTCAGGGTTGGAAACATAGCCCCATTTCTAGAACACACTGTGAGTCAAATGGATCGCTAATCTACATTACAAGTGTGAAGTCAAGGGGCCTTCCTAGAACAGCAAACACAGGGTCAGCTGCTATACCTGTCATGCAGTAAAGAATTTATGACAGTCTGGAAGACAGACATTCAGGATCAGTGTCAGCATTGCTAGGCTCAGATGAGGGCCTTCCCCACTTTCTGTGCTCTGACATGGTAGAAAGTGAGAGAATTCTTCCTCAGCTGAAGATTATGGTGTTTCTGTTAATCCCAAAGATGGGAGGAGAAAAACCATCAACCCAAATAAACACGGCCAAACTAATTAAAGCAAGCATTTTAATTTGTATACATGGTCTGCCTCCCTCTAAGGCAGGGTCCAAGAGGTTAGAATTAGACATGAGGAAGACAGGGTTTTTATAGCTCAGGGCAGGATTTCCAAATGGGGGATCTGATAGGCAAAATAAGTGGAGTTACAGGTGTAGAACATAAGCACAACAAGGTGGTCATAACGACGCCCTGAAACAAAGACCTGACTGCAAGGTGGGCATAAGCTGGTCATAACAAGGTAGTCAAAACAACCTTTTGAAACAGGGTAGGTGTTGCAAGATGGTTATATCTTTTTGAAAGAAACAGTTGGTTTGAAACATCTAGTATAGAGCAATTTGTAGTTGAGGTTAGAGGTGAGGCTAGCCCAGACCTAAGGAAACAGAAGTTTAATCATAAACAGGAATGAATCTGGTTTGTCTTTACTATAAGATGCAGACTGGTTCATCAATTCTCAAAATCTCACTTAAACCTATGTATTTCCATCAGGCATTGCCTCCAAATGCCATCTTATTAGTGACTAGGGCTTCAACTCATGTACTTGGGGTAGACACAGTGATGTAGTCCCATGTTGTATTCAGTACCAAATTGTACCCTATGAGGTTTTAACAGATAATTAAGTGAAGTACTTACAAGAGACCTGGCTCATACAGTTCACAAATTCGAATCTTCAGCCTGACTTAGAGCAGGCACTGTATTAAGAAACAGGCCAGATGTAGTGGATCTCTGGCCCTTTGGGATTTGGAGATAAGGAAGAAATATGCTCATATAAACGGACGTGATACAAAGTGTAATCTTGAAAGGACCTGGGAGAATCTAAATGGAGGATGAGGGAAACCTTTCAAGGACGGATGTTTGAGTTGAGATCTGAAGGAGCCCCGGTAAGAGGAAAATCCCAGGTTCCAAAGTGAATCTTAGTGTACGAAAAGGCAGCAAGACGGAGATTTTTGATGAGTCGAAGAGAAGCTTCAGGGCACAATGAATGTTCCTCAGGTTGGCGTAGGCCACCTGATCAGAAAACAAGAAAATACCTTTAGAGTTTTATCTTTATTTTCGAGACCGTTTCTCTGTGTAGCCCTGGTTGTCTTGGAATGCTGTAGACCAGGTTGACCTTGAACTCAGAGAAACGCCTGCTGCCTCTGTGTGCAAAGATTAAAGGCGCGTTACCTCTACTGACCTTTAGAGTTTTATCTGGGTAGTGGTAAGATAAATTCTGTGTTTGGCAAGGAGGAAAAGAAAACTTTCTTATGCAGAATGGCAGTACTTTTATTGTCATGGGAAAAGCTTTTCCAAGTTCAACAAGTTCAATAGTAGCGAAACGCCGTTGTTTTTTTCTTTTCTTTTTCTTTTTTTTTTTTTTTTTCTGACAGCTTCAGCAACGAGTTTCCGCGGCTGCGGGTGGCCTAGACTCTGGTTATGGGGTAGGTACACAAGCCCTGCTCAGGAATGACATCCATGGGGGGGGGGGCCGCCCCCCGGTTTACGTTGAAGGCGTGGCCTTGAGGCCGCGCCCCTCTGCTTCGCGCGCAGGAATTTCGAGACGTCCCGCCTCTCGGGGCTTGAGGTCGTGACCTCTACCCACGCCCCCTCAACCGGGAACCCAGAGACTTCAAGCCCCGCCCCTCCGCTTCCGGAATTTTGCCCGCGTCTCGGAAGCTCCGCCCCCAGCCTCCGAGGGCGTGGCCTCACACGCCCCTCCGTCTCGGGGAGTTTTACCGCGCGCGTTTTCGCCGCGCTGCCCTAGGCGTTCCACCGGCTCGGGGGCTCCGCGCGACGGCCGGGTCCAGCGGTGACCAGCGCGGGGTGGCTCCCGAGCAGGACCTGCCCTCCCGCCCTCCGAGGCGATGCCGCGTAGGCCGCCGACCGTCCGCTCGGGGAACAAGCCTTCTCCCGCGCCCGCTATGGAGCCGGCTGACGACGGGCCCTGGGCCTACAGCCGCGCGGCGCTCGCCCGCCTGGAGAGGCTGCTGCGCTGCTCCCGCTGGTAAGGACCGACCTGGCGACCCGGTGTCGCCTGCCTCTCCGTGGCCCGTTCCTGTCCTTTCCAAGTGGCTTTCCGGTCACTTGCCACAAACTGGGTTCAAACGGCACTTTTCGAATTTTCGCGGGAGAACAGCCGTGGGGGCGTGGCCTACGAAGCTCAGGTCGCTGGCCCCTCCCCGAAGGTGACGCTCCGAGCTGGGTGGAGCTAAGGCTTTGGGGTCAGTGGCTCGGTGTTTTGGGAAGGTGGTCACCCTAAATCTGGGCCACGACAGCCCCTTTGAGACCGACCTTTTCCAGGCAGCAGCCTAGGCGTGTGAGAGAGCGGGCGGCCGGGATGGTGACCTGGCTAGAGGTAGTTTGACGGCGGCAGTGCGGTGGGCATCGCAGTTTTCCCCGAGTTGGAGGATTAAGGAAGTGTACCACTGTTCTCCAGCACGCCCTATCAAGGATTTTGTTTGGTCCAAAACACCTTCTTGAGTGGTTCTTCCTTTCCTGTAGCTGTTTGTTGAATACGACCCCGAAAGTGCCCCTCTCTTCCCATTTTTCTCTTTGGCAGTACTGAATGTGGAACCTTCAGCCTCTAGTACTGAATTACTGCAGTGTTAAACAGCAACTTTTTTTTTTTAAGTCAGACTTAATTGATACCGAATTTTGCACTTAACATTACTTATTATTTTCAAAATGTTAGTGTTCCAAAGAATGACGATACACTTCTTAGGAAACTGGCAGTTTTGTTAGCATGTAGACATTCTGAGGTGTGCTTTTTTTTTTTTTCTGAAGCAAATGGGTTATCTTTCTGGGCATAGACATTATCTGAAACTGTACTTCTAGTCACAATAACAGAAGCCAATGCTGGCTCACACTTTAAAAATCGTCGAACCAAAGGCAGGCACGTAGATGGAAGCAGCATTTCAGTTTCACTTAGAATGTATTAGACCGCTTAAGGTCAGGTTCCAGCCGCATCTTTGATCCTCTCTGTACCTCAGTGATACTGATTTGTTCATTCATGTGTTAGTAATGCACATTTATTGAACACTTAAGGCTGGTACCAGTATGGCTTCAGAGTAAGAAATCATTAGTAAGCAAAGCAGACAAAAAACCCCAGTGTTTCTGTCACTCCGCCTCAGGGATTCCAAGCCTTCTATTTGGGAGAGGAAAAAAGAAAACTAAATATAATTATACATGTAAACCGTTTTCCTATGGTGATTATCGTAAATGGTTACAAAAAGGTTGACGAACCATTTTGATATACTAGGTAAAGTGTACCCAATCTATAGATTGTCCTCAAATTAAGCAGTTTCCCTGTTTAGCACCTGCTAACTATTTCTTTACCATCTAAATTAAGCAAGCTTACCATAAGAGTCAAGAGCCTGAAGAGACAGAAGTAGTTAGGCCAGACTTAAATATCTCCCTTCCAGTTGGCCAGAGAATGCTGTACTTCTGCTTCCCCCCTTTTTATTACTATAAGTATATGAACCTAGTATGTGGTAGATGAGCTAAATTTAACTAATAGAGGGTGTCATTTTTTCCTCTGAAGTGTCAGCAAATATTACTTAGGTTTGCAGCCCCAAAGAGTCCATTTTCTTTCTTTAAGAAGTTGGCTTATGCCTTTATTGAAGCTCTCTGGAGGCAGTTACAATCAGATGACTCTCTGAGTCTCTGGCCAGCCTCTTCTACGTACAGTTCCAGGCCAGCCGCGGCTACATAATGAGACCCTGTCTCAAAACCAAATCAAAACAAAAATATAAAAATGGTTTTTATCTGAAGGATGTAGAAAAGCAGACTGCTGACTTGATTTGGACTTGAGGCAACAGCTTTCCAAACAATTTTATGTTTTCTTTTTCTTTTTTTCTTTTTTCTTTTTTTTCCTGTTGCTACAGCGACCTGCTGTGTAGCCTAGGTTTGCCGGGAAGATATTCTATGCCCTTGCCGTCCTACATTCAGCCCTCTGCTGCTGTCACCTCCTTGGCACTAGGATTGTGGATGTATTCTGCTATGCCCAGCTTCAGACTCAGTTTTAGCAAAGAAAACTTAAGTTTAAAGACCCTTTGGGCATACAGTTTTACAGTGCAGAGGAAATGACCTATATCACATTGGGACTGCTTTTCTTTTTCCATTTTGCTGTCTCTCAAGCTCTCTGCCACCACCCCCCCACCCCCCACCCCCGCTTCTGCCCCACTTGCTAGAAAAGAGCAACCCAGGTTGGTCTGCGGCTTGCTTCGGCTCACCATCACCCAGAGTGTCATGTTATTTGAAATTGTGTGTGTCCTTTTACAGAGCTGCAGAGTTCCCCCCAGTATGCCGGCGATGATTGCCCCGATTACCCTCGCTATCGGCTTGCAGCTGTCATCTATCTGGGGCTCCCAGCTGTCACCTGTCTTGTGTAGCACATTGGATCTGTTCTGTAGCAAGCAAGACTTGCTCTTGCAGTGGATTGGCTACATTACAGGGCATCCTTTCCTGACCTTTAACATGATTCTGGCTTCAAGGTGAAGCTGGTGAAAGTAAAGTGTTCAAGAGGTCAGATGTGCCATTTGTGCATTTGTGTTAGGGCCAAGCCTCACAACCAAACAGAAGCTATTTAAACATTGGGGAAAAGGAGGCTGGAAGACCTTGTTGTTAGAGGCTGCCAGAAAGGAGAGTTCCAGGGTGTTCTGAGGGAAGCAGGAAATGCATATAGGAACTGCCTTGTCAAAGCTCCAGGTGCCCTTCCTGCGGTGCTCTTTGTGAATTAAAACTAGTTAGGTACTTCCTGGCATATTTTTGGGGTGGGGAGGGTTGGACTTTTTATGCCAATTGTATTTTGAGCTTATGTCACATTAGAGAAGATTAAAAAGTAATAACTTTGAAGATAGTTGGTTTTCTTTTTTCAAGTTATTCCTTATTTAAAAGACAAAAATTCATTTTACATTATACGTGCCCACACACATGTGTCTTTTGAGACATTCTCACTCTGTGGTTCTTGGTGCCCAGGTTGCCCTCAGACACATACTGACCCTTTGACTCAGCCACCTGAATTTAGGTGTGGACTTGGTTTTCTTTTGTGTCTTTTTTTTTTTTTTTTTTTTTTGACGGGGAGGGTTGAAGTACAGGATCATGCTATGTAGTCCATAGGGGCTTTAAACTTGGGGATCTTACTGCCACAGTCATGAGAGTTGTGGGATCACAGCACTATACATGGATTCTAGGGGCAGGGTGGGTTGTTCAATGGTTAGAGTGTTTGCTGTACAGGCATGAGGACCTGAACTCAGATCCCACCTTCCACAGAAAGTGAGGTTGGCTCTGTACATCTCTAACCCCAGTGTGGGGGTGGAGTGGAGGGAGACCGTCTGGCTGAAATGGTTAGCTACAGGTTAGTGGTGAAATGATTGAGGATGATATCCTAGCATTAGTTCTGTATGTGCCTACATATGCACATGCCATACATATATACACATGCTTGAAAGTATACATACAAATTAGAAGACATTATTGGATAGACACCCGTCATCCCAGTCCGCCCAGCTTTTTCAGATCTTGGGTCAGTGTTATTACTCTTAGTTTACTTCATTGTTTACCTAATCTTAATAAGATTGCCTGTTTTATACTAAATGGCATATGAATGTTCCTAAAATAAAGCTTAGATTTTCTGACTGCAGCATTGAACTTCTGCCTTTCTTTAGGAGTTTTGAGTCTTTAGAGTGATTCTCGCAGGCCAGTGATCCTTAAGTAGGATGACTGCTCCCTCTGGTTAGCTGTGGCACTGGTTGGTTATTCATTAGAACAGGAAATCACCAAAGCCTAGTAGCGGCAGTGCATTTTCTACCCGTGAGGCATACATGCTCAATTTTAAGGCGTGTAAGGGATACACAGTTCAGGGTAAGTGATGATGAAGGCCCAAGAGATGTAGAGGAGGGAACTTTGCTTAGGTCGTTATGGTAGAGGAAAGCCACATGAGCTTTACAGTTGTACTTTTGAGATGTGGGTAAATTTTTATTAATAGTACCATTGGCCACAGTGGTGGAGGTGGTGGGATATTAGCAAATGATTTGTGTGCCAAGAATGGTAGGATACATGAGAGTGGGTGGGATGATCTGGGAGTTAAGGCCACTTAGATCTCGAGGGATAAGAGCCTATCAACAAAGTGTCCTGTTTGTATAATTAATGTTCCAGTTTGCTTCCCTGTTGTTGTGATTAACGCCATGACCAAAAACAATTTGGGGAGAAAAGGATTTATTTCAGATTATATTTCTAGGTAAGGATCCCTCTCCAAGGGAGACCAGGGCAGGAAACTCAAGACAGGAAATGAGAAGTGGGAACTGAAGCAGAAACTATGGAATACTGCCTGCTCTGTAACCAGAACTTAGCTGACTTACTTATCCAGCCCAGGCCAACTGCCTAGGGAAGGTGCTGCTCACAGTGACCTGGGAATTCCACATCACTTGTCAATCAACACAATAGCCAATCTGATAAGGTGGTTTTTCAATTGAAGTTCCCTTGACTGTATCTAATTGACAGTTAAAAATATAACAACAACAACAGCAAAAAAACCAAAACCAAAAATGAGCTAGCACAGCTGACTTCCCAAGGAAAGCTATTCATGTGGCCTCCTAGAATTCTGGTGTCCTTAGCTATCAAATGATGAATGTAAATGAATTGACTTTTAAAACTGTCTCCAATTTACAGATTTCATAATTGTCAGCATTGTTTAAAGCTTTTAATAAAAATTTAACATATATGTAAAGAGGGCACAGATAGTGTCCAGTTTGCATCATATCCTTCAGTCTAGAACTCATTTATTTATGGAACTTATTTATGTGTTATTTTACTTACTCGATGTCTGCCTCCTTCAATTTTGGTATTATGCTCATAAAGATAGGTTCATGTTATTAGTCACAGTGCCAGATATGTTTCTTAATGTTAAAATAATGAATGAAGAAAACTAGGTCAACTAGGTCCCAATTTCAAAGTGGTGATACCAAGATGACCTACTTAATTCACCAAGAGCACAAGAGAATCCTC